TGAAAAAATTACCATAGATTGTCAAAAGTATGCTCTATAATATACAAAAGATCCGAATAAAATTACTCAATCGATATTTAAGAAATAAATAAATTTTTTTTACCTTAAAAACCTTACACCAAACAACACCATCCCTGACCCCCATAACCAAAATCCAAACCCCCCACCAACCCACCTTAATAAATATAGGTCTGCAAAAACCGAAATATTTATGTATACTAAAATATCAATTATACACTATTAAAATATATACATGTATCCCAAATCTGTGCAATATCGAGCGACGTTTTATTTAAATATGTTAATACAGGTATATTCAAACATAAATTCATATATAGGTACAAATTAAGTATGTTTATGAAAGGCAAGTGAAACGATGTCGATCTTCTGTAAAATTTTATACCTTTCGGAATGCCTGTCGCGATGTATGTATGTACATACTTATACAGATATATATGTATAGACATACATATATGTATCTCGATGTTTATTTTTATATGTGGATTGGAATTTATCATGACAACTTATTCTTCCACTCAATATAATGCTAATGTTAATAATAACATAGTCCCCATGTAATAAATATCTATTTATGTCTTGTATGTAGACTTCAGAATATTACTAATTACTAATACGCCCGGTTGCCCGCAATTCTTTAAGTAGCTTTACTTCTTAAAAACTTACATAACTGCGTTTACAGTATGTACGCATTGCACCAAATCGCTATTTTACGTACCATAATATCGCTAGTTCACTGCACATACGTATTATTTTCTTGGTAAAGATTACAATAGCACCCAAATTTTCCATATTTTAATATATATGAACTAAATTTATTATAAATTTTTATACGCGTATACTTACTTTAACTTCCAACAAATTACAGTTTGCCAAGTTTAAACTATGTATAAGCCACTCTCGAATTATTCGCCGTTGCTGTCGCTATTGGAGCAACACAAATGATCGAGCACTACGCCAAACTGATTAAATGCGCACAGTGCACAATTTGCTCAACCAAAGTAGGAGTCGAGTAGAAAGCATTCGGTCAAAATTTTATGTACAAATTACAATATCATGCATACATGCTTGTATGTGCACGTACCTAGGTGACACAGTCGAACTATTTACAATTCGTAAAATCCTAGTGCACAAACGACGCGGAAAACTAAAATTTTCGGCAGAGTGAAGCGTAGGATTAGTACTTCATGTATCAGGTAAATGTTTATGGTTTTTGCTGTCGGAAATATACGGACGTAAGAAATACATAATTAAAATTCTACAAAATGTGTTAAAAAAAAAGAGAACAATTCAATTGCTCTGAATTTGATTTTTGATACATTATTAAAACCTACTGTATTTGCGCTAATTGCACATTTCAACAAGTTCGATTTTCATAATCACAATTTTCGATTTTTTGGATTTGGTATTAGTACTGGAGATCCTTTTTATATTAATAACTCATGAACGGCTGAACCGATTTCGCTGAAATCGGTGGGTAGCTTAGAACCAGGGAACGGACATAGGCTACTTTTTATATTTTTATGTTAAAAGTAAAAAAAATGTATATGTAAAATTTACATATAAAATCATATTTCATTTTAATATTTTTTTTTTTTTAATTTAAAAAAACGAAATAACTTCACACAGCTTCTGCCAGGGTACAAATTTCACATATAAATAGGAATTATGGTGATAGGTGTTAGTGAACAAGGCGGTTTTTTGGGCACACCGTGCAATATCAAAAGAGAAAATCGCATTGGTAAATGCATGGCAAAGATACTCATAATAAACCAAACAGAACATGAAATATAAAAAATAGCGGAAAAACTACAGTGTTAAGAAAAAGTTCAAGCATAATTTGAGATGATATATCCCATTTTCAATTAATTTTCTGTGAAAAATGGTGTAAGTAAGATTCAATTATATTTCAACTATGCTCAGATCTTCAAATTTGTTAAAAATACAAAGATGCCAAAGTTTTGACATTCTTGATAAAAAAAAGTTCATACTAAAAAAATAAAAATTGTATTTGAAACTATAATTTATAAAT